TAGTTGTAAAGTGATTCAACCATTCTGTAGAGCAGTTTGGAATTCTGCCCAAAGGGCAAACCAAAACCATGCATACCCTTATGACCCAGCAATGCCACTACTAGGTATATATCCCAAAAGAAATTTTTAAAAAAGGAAAAGGACCTATATGTGAAAACATATTTATAGCAGCTCTTTTCTTGGGCAAAGAATTAGAAATTGAGGAGATGTCCATCAATTGGGGAATGGCTGAACAAGTTGTGGTGTGTGATTATGATGGAATATAATTGTACTATAAGAAGTGATGAAGGGGATGCTCTCAGAGAAACCTGGAAAGACTTGCATGGGCTGATGCAAAGTGAAATGTACTGTGTACAAAGTAATAGCAATGTTGTAAGATGATCAGCTGTGAATGACTTAGCTATTCTCAGCAATACAATGATCCAAGATAACTCTAAAGGACTTATGATGAAAAATGCTGTCCGTCCTCAGAGAGAGAACTGATGGTGTCTGAATACAGATTGAAGCATACTTCTTTAAACTTTATTTTTCTTGATTTTTTGTCTATGTTTTCTTTCACAACATGACTATTATGGATACATTTTGTATGACTACATATGTATAACCTGTATCGAATCACTTGCCTTCTCAATGAGGGGCTGGGGGAGGGAGGAAGGAAAAGAATTTGGAACTTAAAAGTTTTAAAAACAAACTGAGAAAAAACAAAATACTAAATTTTTAAAAAAGAAAAGAAAACTGCTTGTTCACATCCTTTGACCATTTATCAATCTGGAAATGGCTCTTATTTTTATACATTTGACTCAGTTCTCTATATACTTGAGAAATGAGGCATTTATCGGAGACCCTTGCCGTAAATTTTTTTCACAGTTATGATTACTGTGTATTTCCCTCCATCCCATTTCCCCCTATTTATCCTCCTTTCACTCTCTCCTGTCCATTCTTAAAATTTTGCTTCTGACTACCACCTCCCCCATTATATCCTCCCTTCTATCAGCCCCCACACTTATCCCCTTACTCTCTTACTTTCCTATAGGTAAAATAGGCTTCTATACCCAACTGAGTGTGTATATTACTCCCTCTTTGAGCCAGTTTTGATGAGTGTAAGGTTCACCAACTCCTGTCTCACCTCCCTCATCTTCATTTCCATTATAAAAGTTCTTTCATGCTTCTTTTATGTGAGATAATTTACCCAATTGTACTTCTCCATTTCATGTTTTCCTGGTGCATTCCTATTTCTTACCCCTTAATTTTATTTTTTAGGTACTCTTCTCATCATATTCAACTCACATCCATGCCCTCTTTATATGTATACTCCTTCTAATTCCCTAATAATGATAAAGTTCTTAGTAGTTACAAGTACCTTCCCATATAGGAATGTAAACAGTTTAACCTTGTTGAATACTTTATGATTTCTCTTTTCTTTTTGCCTTTTTAGGCTTCTCTTGAGTCTTGTATTGGAAAGTCAAAATTTCTATTCTGCTCTGGTCTTTTGATCAGGAATGTTTCAAAGCCCTTTATTTCAATCATGTCCATCTCCCCCCCTGCCCCAAAGAATTATGCTCAGTTTTGCGGGGTAGATGATCCTTGGTTGTAATCTTAGCTCCTTTGCCCTCTGGAATACCAGAGTCCAACCCTTCCAGTCCTTTAATGTAGAAGCTGTTAAATCTTGTGCACTCCTTGTATTCCTTGATAATTTCTTGAAAGATGATGTCTACACTCTTTTATTGATCATGGCTTTCAGGTAGTCTGATAATTCTTAAATTATGTCTCCTGGATCTATTTTCCAGCTATTTTTTCCAATGAGATATTTCACATTTTCTATTTTTTCATTCTTTTAATTTTGTTTTATTGTTTCTTGATGTCTTACAGAGTCATTAGCTTCCACTTGCTTAATTTTCATTTTAAAGAGTTCTTCTCTTCAGTGAATTTTTGTACATCTTTTTCCACTCGGTCAATTCTACTTTTTAAGGAGTTCTTCTCTTCACTGTATTTTTGTGCCTCTTTTACCATTTGGCCTATTCTGTTTATAAAGGTGTTATTTTCATCAGTACTTTTTGATGCCTCCTTTACAAAAGAGGCTCTTTGTTCATGATTTTCTTGTTCCTTTCCCAATCATTTTCATTTCCTTTCCAAATTTCCCCCCTACTTCTCTTGATTTTTAAAATCCTTTTTGTGCTCTTTTGTTGTTCAGTCATTTTTCATTTGTGTCTGACTCTTTGTGACCCCATTTGGGGTTTCCTTGGCAAAGATCCTGGCAAAGATTTCCTTCTCCAATTCATTTCACAGATGAGAAAACTGAGGCAAACAGGGTTAAGTGACTTGTCCTGGTTCATGCAGCTAGTGTCTGAAGCCAGATTTGAACTTGAGAAGATGACTCTTCCTGACTCCAGGGCCAGTGTTCTATATGCTGTGCACCTGCTAAACACCACACAAGACAAAGTTTTTTTCTGCATTTTACAAAGAAACAAACACACAGACAAAATGATAAGACAAACACATATTGGCCTCCTTTTCTCTTCCATAATTAAAAGTCCTTTCTCCAGGCCAATTTTGGGACTCATTTGGATTTTTATATATTTTAGCAAAATTTAAGACTCTTTTAGTCATGCCCTCCACTTCTGTATGGGAAATTCCAGGCCAACAAGAATTTCCCTAAGGGGGTGTCAATATAACAAAGTGACCTTCCCTGGACTCACACCAAAAGAAATTGTATCCAAGGGAGAGTCCTTCAGCATTTACTATTATTGCGATCCATCCTTTACTTAAAGGGAGTAATCTTTCAACAACCTTCAGGGTGAGGGTAAACCTTCCCCAGCAGTGTGAGAGTAAGCCTTAACTTAAGCTTGGAAGCTTAAGAATTGGAAGAATTCAAAATTGAGGGGACTCTGATCCCAGAAAAAAGTCCTTTGGTTAAAGATTAGCCACAGTACTCTGAGGAGCTTTTCTGAAAGGCTGTGGTCCTGGGGGTCAGAGTCCTGGTTTGACTTAGCTTGGCTTGCCCCAAACTGGCAAATTAAAGATGAAATAATTGAGGAAACCAAGGTCGAGTTTTTGAGTATATTGGTTTATTAAACAATGCATGCCAACTACATAACAATTTGGGACCAGGCCTCCTCTGCTTGTACTGGACCACGAAACAGAAGAAAACAGATTTTTATGCATTAAAAATAATTAATCAGATAAAGCCAATTAATTTAAAGAAAAAAATTAACCAGGATACAAAACTAGGTAATCTGATTTGTAAATTGAGGAGAGATTAATGACTTTCTGAGTTGAGAGGGGAAAACAGATGAAATTCCCTGAAGTCAGAGAAAAGAGGTGTCCCACTCCCCTCAAGGGACTATATTCAATCAAAGGAACATGGAAACAGTAATAGATTGACCAGTATGGGACCAGTTTTCAGGTAAGACAGATGGGTGTCTTGAGATACATAATCGTGAGAAAACTCCTTGCGTCTGTCTTCAGAACTGACTGGGTTGGTCAACATCACCCACGCCAAGCTCTTTTTGTGGTGGCAAAGAATTGGAAATTGAGAGGATGCCCATCAATTGGGGAATAGCTGAGCAAATTATGGTACATGAATGTAATGGAATACTATTGTGCTATAAGAAATGATGAACAGGCGGACTTCAGAAAAACCTGGAAAGACTTATATGGTCTGATGCTGAGTGAAGTGAGCAGAACCAAGAGGACTTTGTACACAATAGCAGCCACATTATGATATGACTAAGAATGTTAAACTGAACCCTTCTCAGCATTACTAGGATCTAAGACATCTCCAGAGGCCTCGGGATGGAAAATGCTGTCCACATCCAAAGAAAGAACTATGGAAGTCGAATCGCTCTCACTTATTTTTACCTTCTGTTGAGTTTTGTTTTATCTTTCTGATGGTTCCTCCTATTGGTTTTAATTTTTACTTACAACTTCACTAATGTGAAAATATGTTTAATGGGTATGTAAATGTAAAGCCTATGTCAGATTGTGCGCCTTCTTGGGGAGGGTGGGGGGGAGAAAAAGGGAGAAAAATTTTCAACTCAAAAGCATATGGAAAAAAAAATTTTTTTTAATAAAAATAAAAAAAAATAAAAAAAATAAAACATCACCCACGCCATATTAAGGATATCAAAGCAGCAAGTAGAAGCGGTCCAGCTTCACAGACACACAGGGTGAGGTTCAAATGATGCAATAAATTGTTTTCTCACAATTCCCATAACTAAATAAAGTTTTCTCACAAGACAGAAATTGGAATAGACCCATAATTAAACGGAAAGGGAACTAAGCTAGCTCCAGAATTGAGTCACAAGAAGTCAGTGTGGTTCACTCAATACCCACAATTCCCTCAGTTGGTAACACATAGAAATGCTGATGATTTATGTGGGTTTATTTTCTATTCTGTAACTTTGCCCCAAATGGTCTTGTATTTACTTTATATCTGTTTACATATTCACGAGACACACTGTGGCCTACTGGAGAGAATTGGACTGAGCACCAGGAAGACCAGGGGTCAAGGCCTATCTCTGGCACTTCCTGACTACGGGGTCCTGGACCTGGAACAAAGACATCAGTGCTCTAGACACCTCTCAAGAACTGTGAGTTAAGAGTGAAAACTCATACTGAACACACATGCATATTTCCCCTGATAGAATGTAACCTCTTTGAGGGCAGGGATTGTTCCATTTCTGTTTTTGTATCCCCCCAGTGCAGGCCCTCAGTTAATGGTTCCTGAATGAGTGACAGAGAGGTCACTTACACACACACACACACACACACACACACACACACACACACACACACACAAGAATACTTTCTCAACATTTATTGTATTCTCTGAGGCTGGCGGCAGTCACAAAGGAAAGCAGAAACACATTTCCACCCTGAGGGATCTTATAACTTATACAAGGGGTAGAAGTAGAAAGAAAAGAAGAGAGAATTCAGCGTTTCTTCCTTCCTGCCCTGCTCCCTTTCTTTCTTCTTCTTCTTCTTCTTCTTCTTCTCTTCTCTCTCTCTCTCTCTCTCTCTCTCTCTCTCTCTCTCTCTCTCTCTTCATCTCACCTTCTCTCCTTGTCTCTTACATACAGGAATGACATGTGATTTTAGCATGGAACACTGTCACTGTAAGAACAACCCTGACCAAGGCACATGGTAGCCAGTCTAGGAATTCAGATTTAGGTCTTAGGGAGCTGTCTGAGGTGCCGACATGAAGTGTCCAGAGTCTCACTATAAATGTCAGTAGCTGGATTTGAACTCAGAGCTTGCTCACTGCAAGCCTAGCATAGTATCCACTGTGCCTCCCTGATTCTTGGAAAGGGGCAGAGAATCACCTCCCCTGCAAATGTGGTCACCCTTTTTACCCTCCAATTCCCCAACAGACTCACTGACACATTCTCTTCACTCCATCCTTAACACTTCCAGCCTCAGTAACCTGCACTCAGTAAGCTAGGACCCCAAAGGGCTCTTTGGGAAGGGAGAGAAAGGGACAATACAGAATGGAGAAAAGAGTCAGTTCCAGTGGAAGCCAAATAAGAAATTAAAGGGAATGGAGAAAGAGGGGCACATCATGGCAGAGTGGAGAGCCCTGGACAGGGAATCTGAGGACTTGGTTCAAATCCCAGCTTTGCCCATTACAAACAGGTTGACATGGGGCAGGTCCTCTGCTTCCCAGTCCAAGGATCTCTCCCCCTGTCTGGGTGGAAAGGTTGAGAGGTGAATCCTTTACTAGGCACTTGTGAAGAGCGGAGGTAGGGACAGGATGGCAGGGGAAGGGGAGGGGTGATCCCTAGCTGGTGGAGGGCAGCCAGCCCTACTTATCAAAGAAATCAATGTGGGCCCCCGACTCAAAGGTGTCCCTCAACAGCAGGTCCAGGAGCTTCTGGGCAGAGACAGAGCAGTCCAGCAGGGCCTGGCACTCCTTTAACTTGCTCGATGCCTGTCGCACCTCCAAGTCCTTGGTTTTCTCTCGGGCTTCCCGGTGCATGTCTGTGTCCAGAGGGCCTGAGGGAACAGAGGAAAGAAATAAGATCTAGCAAGGACCCCTGGCTGGGGCCCGTGATTGTGTGGGGTGGATAAGTACTGAAATAGGACTGAGCATCTGAGCCTTGGACACCTCTCCCTTTATACAGCTAGATGGGGCAGTGACGAGATAGCTAGCCTTGCTATCAGGAAAATCTGAATCCCAATACTGCCTCGGACGCTTAACTGGCTGAGAGAACTTGGACAAACAACTCAGCTTCAGTTTCCTCCACTTCCCACAGTCGACCTGACGGCCAAATGAGATCATCTGGGTGAGAGCACTTTGCAGACCTTGAAGGGAGACAAAAATGCTCACTATCAATTATTAGCCATGATCAGTCCTAAGGGCATGGGCCATGCTTCCATTCTTGGGGGTCTTCTCCCCTTCCCCTAGTCACTGGGGTACTAGCGACTGCCTAGCACAACTCCTATGGGATGGCACACAGTAAGGTGCCCTAATGATTGCTACTGCCCACAGTAGGCACTCAATAAATGTTGGGGGCATTTTTGAGCACAGTGCACAGGCAAGTTGGCAGCTATCGAGACTTAAGAACTTACTCACCAAGGAGAGGCAGAATTTCCTTGTGAAAAGGGCACTGGACTTAGAGTCCAGAAGACCTGGATTCAAATCCTTCCTCAGACAATTAACTAGCAGTGTGACCCTGAGCAAGTCTCCTAACCACTCTGTGCCTCAGTACACTCCTCTGTAAAAAGAAAGGTTGGATTCAAAGGCCTCTGAGGTCCCCTCCAGCTCTAAATGTATGATCTTGTAATAAGAAGGACAAGTGGTAGTGATTAGACAATGTGCTGGGGTGGGGGAGGAGCTGTTCCTGTAAGAGGATAGTGCAAGTAAGCAAGGGGATGTTTCCATTCTAGGGATTGATCTGTCACTATCCTCATCCTACAAACCACTTCCAAGAGTCTCTCCACTCCCAAACTAAATCCTTCAAAGCCCCTTGGCCAATACTTTCTGCAAGAGGGACTTGCCCACAGGGAATCATGGATGTCAGGGGAATTGTACTCTGGGTGCGGAAGAAGGAACAGCAGGCACCTGGGTGCCCAGAAAGAGCCAGATTGGGAGCAGGGGGGTGGCCACATGGCCTCCTACCTGGGGCATAGTTCAGCACCCGCACACTGGGCTCTTCCTCTGCCAAGACCCTGAACATCATGTTTCGGGCAGCCTTGCCAGCACAATAGAGGCTCCAGCTCTTGAAGGGTTTAATAGCACAGAGGGAGGAGATGTTGACCACAGTTCTTTTCAGGCCAGGACTGGGGGGAAGGCCCGGAGGACTCCTGAGGTCAGGCAAAGAGTGGAGGTCACATTCACAGCCCAGTACCCATTGACTTCTGCCGGGTCAGCAAAGTCCACAACGTTTTTAGACACATCTCCCAAGGTACCTTTATAAAAATTAAAAAAACAAAGCCTTAGGAATCCTACAGGGCCAGGCCAGGAGCCCCATCCCAGAGCCTGGAAATGGGTAGGAAGTCTACCTTTGATGATTCAATGGTTTTCCCATGAAAGGAAGTTTGATGTAGACCATCTTTGATCTTTAATCGGGGGTCCTTGAACTTTTTTAAATTTTGATTTCAACAGAACTGGTTCCCTTGGCAATCATATGCATTTATTCATTTAAAAACACACTGAGGCACAGCTAGGTGGTGCAATGGCTAGAGCTCAGGCCTGGGAGTCAGGAGGACCTGAGTTCAAATCTGGATTCAGACACTTGATGCTTACTAGCTGTATGACCTTGGGCAAGCCACTTAACCCCAATTGCCTCAGCAAAAAACAAAACAAAACACTGAAAAGGGGTCCAGAGGCTTCCCCAATTTGCCAACAGGGTCACAATACATTAAAAGGTTAAAAACTCCTGGTATAGAGATTAGAGGGTGAGCCTTGGAGTCAGGAACACTTGAGTTCTTTCTGTCTGGGACACAAATGCTGAGGGTGTGAAGAAAGACAAAAAATGGTTGAACAAGTTATGGTATATAAGTGTGATGGAATACTGTGGTACTGCAAGAAATTATGACATAGAGGGCTCCAGAGAAACCTGGGAAGACTTGTATGAACTGATGCAGCCTGAAGGGAACAGAACCAGGAGAAGAACTTGGGAATTCTGATCAGTGTAATGATCAATTGCAATTCAGAGGACTTATGATGAAATAGGCTGCCCACCTCCCAAAAGAGAAGTGAAGGACATAAGCACAGCAAATTAGGGGAAACCTGAACATATAATTTTCCTAGTCATTTAACAAAACAGTAGATTAGATATCTCATACTTATCCTGTAGGAGATTAAATATAGAGATTTAGACTAGACGGTGACAGAAGATTCTGGATCTGGTTGAGGGATTGGACTCAGAGAGTCGGGATTCCATCACTCAACTGTGATGATTTTAAAGGATTGTGGTTCCATATCATTTTGGATGGAAGTTTCCAGTGCACAGCTCCAGGGATCTGTGCTTGGCCATATGAAATATTTCATTAATGACTTGGGTAAAGGTAAAGGTGATATGCTCTTACGTCTGCAGTGGCACAAAAATGAGAGAGATAGTCACTGGGTAAGAGGCAGGGTCCAAAAAGACTTTGACAGGCTTGAGAATGGGACTAAGTCTCACAAGATTAAGGATAAATGTCAAGTCTTACTTTTAAGTTTTAAAAATCAGCTTCATAACAAGAAGATGAAGGCAGGGTAAAATCTCCATTTGTCTGAAGAAGATCTGGGGGTCTTAGCGTGCTGCAAGCTCAATAAGGGTCAGCAGTGGGGAGTGGTAGCCAAAGAAGATAATGCAATCTTTTACTGCATTGGCAGACCTTGCTTCCATGTATAAAGAGGTAGCAATCCCACTCTACAACTAGGGGGCTCACTGGACAGAGTGGCGGACCTGGAATCAGGAAGACCTAAATTCAAATCCTGATTCAGACAATAGCTGAGCAACTTTGGCCAAGTTACTTATCTGTGTCCTCTCAGCTTCCTCATCTGTAAATACAGCCCACATGTCCCAGGTTACTGTGAGAATAAAGTAAGATAATATTTGAAAAGTGCTGAGCTATTTTTCTGATCGATCACATCTGGAATAGTGGACCTGGATTCCGAAGTTCAGGCTGGAAATCCTCCTCAGCCAGAGGGTAACCTCCCCGGCCCAGCAAGCAAGCTGTGCCCTGAGCCTGGCATAACAACACTCCTTTGCCCCCACCCTCTGGATGAACTCTGCAGCAGAAGAATCCCAGAATTGTTCGCACACCAGCTCCAGGTGGTCCCTGAGCTGGGACAAGCACCTGCAGGAACCACGTTCTGGTCAGGAACCAAACCTGTCTCACTGTTGCTGTTAACACTCACTGTCAGGGCTACAGCTCACTGTCTAGCCACTGCTGTATAGATCAAGACTTGACCTCCCTAAGGCGGGGCTCCTCCTAGAGGAGGCCCTGTGGCGTGTGTCTAGTTCCCTTCCTCCAACAGAACAAAGGGAGCTTTTTTTATTATCACCGTTAGCTCTTTGGTTTTATTTTATTTTTCAGAGTTAACTGTGGTTGTGATAACTTGTGCGAGCTCTTCCGTATTTTCACAATTACCAGCAACTGCATAACCTCTGTGACTCTGTTCTTTTGCTTTCAGAATTGACAAGGCCGAGTCTTATGATTTCTTGAAGGAGGTGGGGTTGTTTTGCCTGGACAAGAGGTGGGGGTGGAGGGGACAGGACAACTGTCTTCAAGTCTCTGAAGGGATGGATATCCCAGGGACTAGGGATCAGACTGGTTCTGTTTCACCACCGAGGACAGGGAGCACAGGGGGTGGCACTGCACAGAAGCCAACTGATGCTCAAGGTCAGGGAAGAGTTTCTCAGGAGCAGTCAGGACCTGCAATGGCCGGGGTGCCCCAGAAACCGATGGAACAGACTGGATGGTGTAGATTGAATTCTGGGTTCCACTAGTCTGTTACTGAAGTCCCTTCCGACTCTGCCCTAAGAGCCCCAAAATGCTTATGGAACAGAAGAGCTCAATTCAAAGGGGCAGTGGACAACAACTCCAGGATCCAGATCGGGTCTGCCCGGACTGCCCCCTCCCCCCCTCCCCACCCACGGCCGCCGGCCACACTTCCTCTTCCTCCCCCATTCCGAAGGCCATTACCGGCGTTGTTGATGAGTAGGAGCCGCTGCAAGTCCTGTGGCCGGGGCAACGCCTCCAGCAGCCTCTGCAGCCCGGCCTCACTGCCCAGGTCGGCCGACACGCACAGCACCCGCAGATCCGGCCACGCCGCCCCCAGCTCGTCCGACAGCGTCCGAAGGGCCCCACCGTTGCGGGCGGTCAGCATCAGCGACGAGCCGGCAGCCAACCGCGGCGCCAGCAGCAAGGCCAGGCTGCGGCCGAAGCCCCGAGAGGCCCCGGTCAGGATGCACAGGGTCCGGCCCAGGCTGCCCTCCATGTCGCCCCGCTCCCAGCAGGCTCGGCTCAGGCTGGCTGGACTCTGCGCTTTCAGGCTGTAGTCACAGCCTACCCGGGAAGATCAAGCAGGGGACCTGGGGCCGGACCTGGCCTAACCTTTCCCAAAGCCAGCTTTCCTCATCCACGGGTGCTTCCATTGGCGGAAGCAAAGCAAGCCCCGCCCCCGCCAGCCTCCTTCTAGAGCGGCCCTCCCCCAGCTGGGGTGGAATTCAGTAGCCAATTTTAGATTTAGGAATTGAAAGAACTCGTCTGAGTTTCGTTTTTTCGGTCAGGGTACTTCCGGAGGTCCTCTCTGCACTGTTCCCAAATTAGCTGGACAGGTTTTCCGGGCTGTTAGTTAAACAAGCAGAATTGAGAGGGCAGGAGGCTAATTAGAAATCCAACCCAGCAGAGACAATTAGTCGATCGACAGTCATGTATTGTGTCTATCATATGTGTGTCATGTCAGCTCACATCCTACCTCCCACAGACTTTTCCAAGACCCCAGCTGCCAGAGACTTCCTCTCCAAGGACACTTTCCACCAGTGGTCTATGTATCTTGTATTAACATTATTTATGTATTGTCTCCCCCAGAAGAATGGAAACTCCTTGAGGGCAGAGGTTAGTCTAGCCTTTCTCTGTATCCACAGCACTTAGCACGGTGGCTAGCACACAGTCAGTAGCTGTTTGATAAATGGCGTTGATTAATTACTTAACTGTTAGGCACTGTGTTAGCTGGGGGCACAAGGACAAATGAAACAATCAATGACTTTACTACTCTCAAGGAATGTAAGTTCTACAAAGAGACACCTGTACATACATATACTACATTTTTACCAGGTAATTTGCAGCTCAGGTGATGAGGAAAACCTTCACATACAAGATGCCTTTGGAGGGAGTTTTAGATAGCTGCATCATTGGTTAAGAGCAGCTAGCTGTCCACAAATGACCAAACTGAGTAAGGAGCAAGGTGTTGTGTGTGTATGTATTGGTTTGTTTGTTTGTTTGTTTGTTTGTTTGTTTTCAAATCAATTACTGTGTTAAAGTCATAGATGGTATGTTCATATTTACAAATGGTACAAAGCTGGGTTGGCATAGCAAATGCACTGGGTGGCAAGTGTGGGGAGGACCCAAAAAAGATTTTGCCGGGCTAGGGCAGTGATTCTCCAATTTTTTGGTCTCAAGATTATCTGTGGACACTGCAGGGAAGATCTGACCAGGAGCTTACTGCCTGCAATATTCCTATGTCCAAGGACTGTGTCTGAGGGCAAGATGAGGTTCCAGACTCATGCCAGAACATCACCTCATGCAGGATCCAGGAACAGATGCCAACTGGTAGCTTTATCACCTACTACCCAGTGTACCCAATTCTAGGTCACAGGCCCATGGCAGACTGAGGAAGGCACCTGAGCTCAGAGGTGTTATTCCAAGTGAAGAGGGATTGCTGGCCTACATACCCAGCAAAGAGGAAGGGCAGAAATGTGCAGCAGCTTGTGTGGCTCTGTTCCCAGGAGCAGAGAAGGCTCTCAGTTCCAGCTTTTACTCCAGTCTGAATGAAGCCTGAAGAAGAAGAACCCAGGGCAGGAATCTCAGACCAAGGAAAGCCTAAAATTCAGTCCCTCTGAACCAACAGAGCTACCTTATGCCTGAGTGCAGAAGAAGCAGCAGCGTTTACTGTTGTTCAGACAGGGATCCAGGGCAGGAACTTGCAGAGCTCAGACCAAGAGGGCAGTGATCAGACTTGGTAGACCTTGGGAGCACTGAAAGCTTGCAGTTCTGGAGCATGTGTGGTCCCTGAAAGTGTGGACTAAAACAACACTTACTGTTCCCAAGAAGGCAGCAACAGGTCCAACCCAGACAGTGTGTGTGAGCTGGCCTTAACGTTTAGTCCAGAGTCAGAAAGTTGGGGGGAGGAATATGTTAACAAAGAATCCCACCATGAAAAGCTGTTATAGTGACAGGGACACTCAGGATTCTGAATGAGATGGTGCCCTGGCATTGCCTTTTGGCACAGGATGCTGGAATGCTCTAAGGGTCACTGTCCCTGGCTAGACCATGTCCCCAGTGTCCAAAGATCTCTTTCTCTGTCTCTCTAAGCCTATTCAGGTTGGGGGGAAAAAGTGACCAACTGTAATTTTTTCCTTGGATTTATTTCCCTATCAGAATTTGATCTGGTGAATTTTCTTTGGAGTAGAGTGAGGGGCAGAATGAACTCACTGTACTTTTTCCTGCTACTCTACTATTTTGGCCTCATAGTTATAAATTTCAATCAGTTCCCTTTATGTCTTAGGAATGAGACCTTTATCAGAGAAACATGCTGCAAAGATTTTTTTAAAGCTTTCTTTACAATTTTAGCTGCATTGGTTTTGTCTGTGCAATTTTAAAACATTTCATGTAATCAAAATCACACATTTTCTCCTCTTAGATCACCTCTGTCCTCTGTCTGGTCATGACCTCTTCCCCATACATTAATCAGAAAGGTCAGTTCTTTCCTTCTTCCTCTAATTTGTTGAGGTTATCACCCTTTATGTCCAAGTGACATGCCCCCTTGGAGGTTATCTTGGTATAAGATGTAGATGATGGTCTATACCTAGCTTCTGGCAGCCTGCTTTCCTGTTCTTTCCATAGTTCTTGTTGACAAGTGGTCCAGAGAAGTTAAGGAACTTGCTCAAGATGACCCAGGGTAGTATGTGACAGAAGTGGCATTCCAGTCCAAGAATTCCCCACACCAAAGAAATCAGAGGCCCAGTAGAAATGAATAGCAACATATCCAAGCTTACAGTTTCCTTTCTACACCCAGTGGAGAATCAGAGGGGTCTGGCCCCCCTCTCCCAAAACTGCCTCACGTTATACAATTCTGGCATACTTACGGTTTATATTACACCTAGTTCTAGTTAGAATTGGCTACTGAAACTCCAGCAAGCTTATTAATATGATATAGTTATAACCTCATCGTATTCATCCTGAGGAGGCCTTTCTGGTTAAGTGTCAGAAGCCATCTGAATTGCTAATTAATTTATGAAATTATTAATAGAATATAGGAATGGAACCATAGGTAGTTCTTCTGGGTGCATCCCTAGTTCCTTGGTTATGGAGCAGGAAAGACCATGCTGACATCAGAAAGTAATGTTTCAATCCCATTTTAATAAGGCATAGAAGGTACAGGGACAAACAGCAGAGAGTGCAGAGACAAACATTGGGGGAGGGGGTACACAGGCAGATGGCAAGGGGACAGGATTGGGGTGGTAGAGGAAGTCAAGCAGCATGGGGAAGAAAATGGGAAGGGAGAGGGTCACTCACATAAGCATGGATTGGAATTGGGAGTACTTGAGCAGAGTGAACCCTTCAGTAATGGAAAAATGCTCAGGGGGCAGGAGTTTGGGGGCTTCATTTTTAGAGAGTTTTGGTGGGGAATAGACCAGCTCTTCTCCGCCACTTTGGGTTTATTTAACATATCCACTTCATCTTAAAGTTATCAACAATATTTGGTATTCTGCCGGCCTTAATGTGGATATCTAGAGCTTCTGAGGCTTACAGACCATGGCAATTAGCAGGACAAAAGACCCTTCCTCACAGCAAGGTCCAGATGGCTTTCCCTGATTTAGCACAGACTCTCAGGATGTGACTTTTAGTTAATTTATGAGACAGTTTGCAAGGAACCATTATGCTCTCTTTATCTATGAGACAGTCTGTAAGGGACTTGAGGTTCTCCTTTGCAATCTTAATTGCTGCTACTGTTTTAATAGCTACTTATAGACTTACTATACTAAAGCAGGGGAGAGGGAGAGTGGGAAAGTACCTATACAGGAACCTGGTGTGGCAGTCCCAAGAGTCAGAAGCAGAGCCAGGAGAGGAATGAAGAATGGTTGGTCTGGTCATTTTATCTATTTCCTGGGTGTGATGCCAACTAAGAAAAACTACTTTGCCATCCCTTCTGGATGCTGTAATAGTTGTGTTTGGTCTGCTTGGCCCCAGCAGCAGAAGAAGAGATAAGCTGGGGGATTGATGGTATGTTGCCAAGAGGCAAATTTAGACTTGATGTCAGGAAAAATTCCTGACAATGAGAACTACCAGAAATGAAATGGGCTGCTTTGGGATGTGACAGGTTTCTTTTCACTGTGGAGGGAATTCATGATCAGGCATCTGTTTGATCTCCAGATCCTTTCCAGCTGCAAAATTCCATAGTTCTCAGTGCATTCAAGAATGTGCTAAATTTTGGAGTCAAATTCTAGCTTTGCCACTTGCTATCTGTCAACATCTGCCCTCTCTGGGCTACCTCATCTGTAAAATTGAGGGTGTTGGGCCAGCTATCTGTAGGTTCTCTTACTGCTTTTAATCTATAATCCATGTTTTTATTTAATGACTGGCTACAGTCTTCATTAAGGGCCAAATGTTAAGCCCAGGGAAAATAAACTGTGCTTTGGTATCTTATGGTATTTTGTGATACCAAATACATAAGAGTATGGGGTTGGTTGAGGTTTCTGAAAGGAGAGACAAGGACATGAGTAAACTATTTATCAAAGAAATCAACGTGGGCCCCAGACTTAAAGGTGTTCTCTTGCAACAGCTCCATCAGTCTCTGGCCAGACACAGTGCAGTCCACCAACCCCCCCCCCCCATTCTGAAACCACTGATATAACATCTGGAGGGTTTCATGATCCTTTGTGTATACCTTGGCAGTCAGATGCAGGTCTGTGTCCAGAGGACCTGAGGAACACCAGGTTCAAGAGCAAGAGAAAAGAGGAAAGGAAAGAGGGTGAGATTTAGGAGCCAAAGTCACTTGGCATTGAGGCCTAAGACAGTTCTGCCTTGACTCTTCTGGACCCCTTAGGACTTGGGAGGCCCCTTGGCATTCCATCAGTATCTCTGGGACCTTGAACTGATGCCTTATATCAAAAGAACAGCGGTCCCTATCTTGTTCTCCTACTATTAAAGGGTCACCCATACTCATCTTGGCTCCCAGCTCTTCCTCATTGTTTTAGGATTCTTAATTTGGGTATAAGAAGAATCCTGTGAAGCAAGGTCACAAAATCTAGGGCTGTCAAAGGGACAAGAGTTACTTATCATCTTTGGCTAACTCACTTCTGATTACTGATTATCTCTGAGTGCAGAGATTATCTCTTCCAATAGATAAGGTTTCCCCTCAGGGAAAGGGCCATCTCTCTCATCAAAGAAACATGGAATCATAGATTTAAAGGTGGAAGAGCCTCAGAGGCCATCAATTCCAACCCCCTCATTTTATAGATGAGTAGGCTGAGGTCCAGAAAGTGTAGTGACTTGCCCAGGGTCACACAGTTAATAATTGTCTGAGTTGGGCTTTGAACCCAAATCTTCCTAATTCCAAGTCTGTTTCTCAGTTCATAAAAGCAGCTGCTATTTTCCCCATGAAATAACAAGGTTGATAAATATAGGCATTGTATCTCCTCCATCAACCTAGGAGCTGTCACTATGTACCTGCTATCAGCTTAGGAGCTCCTTGAAGGCAGAGATCTTTTTCAGTATCTCTTCCCCAAAACCTAATTATATAATTATGCAATCAAAACTTTTTTTATGCTTAGTTAAGACCTTTGTCTAACTGATCCATTCATTTGCTCCCTCCTAGCAGACCTCTGAACAATTTCCCATATCCCTCTCCAGGAAACCCCTACCTGGGGCGTAGCTCAGCACTTTAACATCTGGCTCTTTGGCTGCTAAGACTTGGAACGTGTTACGGGCAGCATTTCCCACGCAGTACAAAGCCCAGCTCTTGGTGGGCTTTAGGGCAAACTGGGAGGAGATATTGACCACAATTCTGCTGAGGCTGGAAGTTGAGGGGAAGGTCCTCAGGACACCTGAAGTCAGGCAGACTGCAGAGGTGATATTCAGAGACCAATAGCCATTTACTTCTGCCAGATCAGTGAAATCCACAGTTCCTTTGGAGGGATCACCCAGGGAACCTTCAAGAACCAAACCAAAAGCAGGAATTGTATTGATTGATTTGAAAGTCTGCCATTCATTATACATAGAGGTGATAGGGTCACTGTATACTCAGGGTTTGGAATATTTACCAGTTTATCTTCTAGTTTCTCAAGTTAGGGGAAACTCTGGTATAGAAAGATCATAACCATAGGTAGATTTGAGAACTGAAAAGGACACTAGAGATCAGCTAATTCCAGTCTCATATTTTGTACATGAGGAAATTGAGGCCAAGGGCAGGATGGGGAGCACCTTCCCCATCCCACCTCTGCCTGAAGGAACCCAGAGCCCCACTTCATCCTGACCTTAGGCCCACTACCCTTTTCCCTAATTGGTTGAGATCCCTCTATCCAGCCATTGCTCCCAGAGTGCACCAGGTCTTACCACCTCCCCTGCTCCTTTGCCCTCACAATCCTTGCCACCAGCCTAAGGGCCACTGGTCCTTTCCATCTGTCCTACAGCTGAAACCTCTTATATCTGTTTCCTCCATTAAAAGGTGAGCTTCTTTCTTCAGAGCCAAGACTGTCTCACTTTTCTATTTGTATCCACCACGATTGGGACATGCTAAGTACCTAATAAATGCTTTTCTATGCCATTCACAAGGTCATACAGTTGCAGAGAATGAATGTAACATAAACAACAAACACTAAATAATAAAAATAAGATTTTTCAAAATAGTTTAGCAAACCACAAGGGGTCACTATTTTTCCAAACCTCCTCTACAAATGTGTGTCCAAATAAAATAAGTCAGCTTGTAAAACGATACCTGGAATTGCAATCTCAAACCCCTTGGGGTTTGGTATCCTGGGCAATAAATGGGACTCAGCAACTAGAGAAAAAAAGTTTTCTTTTCCTTGTTTTGTCTCGTAAAAGAGAGAAGGGAAGAGGAAGGAAAAATGACAAGAGAACCACGTGAGATGGAGGAGGAGTGGACTCTAACCCAGACACTCAGCAGCACACTTGGTACCCAGACACAAAGCTACTCGATATTTGTGAAACTAGAAAACGAAAAGAACTGGAGCATGCTGTACTGAGAAGCCAGGTGGATTTTCAGTCAGAGGACCAAGGTTCAAATTCTTACTCATTGCCTTTTTTAAACCCTGGGTGAGTCACTTTGGTGAGGTGAAAAAAGTTCTGGCCCAGATTTTAACCCCAGCTCTATCACTTCCCACCTGTGTGATTTTAAACCAACCACTCTTCAGAATTCAGTCTCTTCTCGGTAAAACTTGTGATGGGGGAGGGGGGAAGGGTGGGGAGGGTGGGGGTTGGTCCTAGACGATCCTTAAAGGCACTTCTTTTACTTCTGAATCCTTTGGGGAACTTTCTCCTCCAGGCAGTCGGGGCAGGCACTTGGGTCATTCTTTCAGGGTCCTGCTAGGCTCGCGCTCCCGCTCCCCGCTCATTACCCCGTCCCCCCGCCCAAAGACTGTTATCAGCATTAGTAATAAGTAGGAACCGCTGCAAGTCCAGTGGCCTGGGCAGCTCCCGAAGCGCCTCCAGCAGCCGCTGCAGCCCAGCCTCGTTGCCCAAGTCGGCAGACACGCCCAGCACCCGAAGGCTGGGCCACGCTGCCCCAACTTGGCAGACAGCTCCCGTAGGGCCCCATCGTTTCGGGCGCTCAGAGCCAGCACCGAACCAGCGGCCAGCCGGGAGGCCAGCAGCGGTACCAGGCTGCGGCCGAAGCCCCTCGAGGTTCCCGTCAGGATGCACACTGCCCGGCCCAAACTGCCCTCCATATAGCCCCCCCTCCCCGAGGCTCCCCTTAGGCTGGCAAGATTCTGCCCTTTAAAGCCCCAGCCTCTGTTTACCCTAGGGGGTCAAGGGAGGGTGCAAGGGCAGGACCCGCCCTCATGTTGTCTCCCTAGACCAGAGCAGCAGCACACAAATTCCAAACCAAATCTTGAGGCCTGCTTCTGAATTTGTTATGAACTTAACCATAATCGTAAAAGTGGATATACTTAATAGCCATCATTATATGTAACACGTAGGAACTTAATAGTCATCAGTATGTACACTTAATAGCCACCATTATACTTATGGAAACTTAATTGTCATCAATATATAATGTATGTAAACTTAATAACCACCACCCAAACAATCACATAAACGTGCAACTTAAAGTAGAAGGAAAGAAACAAGCATTTATTAAGTGCTTATTATCAGGCATAAGTGCTGAATGCTTTACAAATATGTTCTTATCTTAGTTTCACAACAATTGGGCAAAATGGAAGGGCAGCATTGTCCCATTAGAAGCCTGCATATGAATTCAGAATTCTTATACCTCTACATGCAAGAATAACAGATGGGGAAGGGAGCAAACTGGACATTTCATCGCTCACTTTCCACAACCTTGGGAATGGCTGTGATGTAGGATGGAACTTGGAAAAGCAAGCCTTGCAGCTGAAGGGGAGCCCCGACCTTGAGAAGAGGGTGGGAGAAGTTGCACAAGCATGCTCAGTAGATTTGCTAGCTTAATACATGACTGCCTAGCTTCCCAGCGCCCCCTGCTGCTTACATTTATAGTTATCTTGTTTATAGAATTACATTACCTCCATATGGAGCACTGAGAGGCAGCTTGGGTAGTAGATCGGATAGAAGCGGCTTCAGAGTCAGGAAGATCTGGGGTTCAAATCTCCAGCCCAGCTCTTAACTTCTCAGTGCCCTCAGGCAACTCTCTAAAACTATCAGTTCAGAAGTAGATGCCAATCTCCATCACCAGAGGAAGGTTCACACCAGGAGTCTCCAATGAAATTACATGGGAAAAGAGACTATACAAAGTCAATCAATTCACTAGGGTGAGGTTAAAATGGCACTAAAATAAACTTGCCCATACAACCATCCAAGACAACTCTGAAGGACTTATGATGAAAAAGGCTATCCATCCCCAGAAAAAGAATGGATGGTGTCTGAATACAGATAGAAGCATACTTTTTTTACTTTATTTTTCTTGAGTTTTTTTGTCTATATTTTCTTTCGCAACATGAGTGTTATGGATATGTTTGGCATGACTACACATATATAACCTATATCAAATTTCTCAATGGGGGGAAGGTGGAAGGGAGAGAATTTGGAACTCAAAGTTTTAAAAACAAATGTTAAAAATTGTTTTACATGTAACTGGGGAAAAATAAAATACTAAATTTATAAAGAAAATAAAATAAACTTGTGCAGCCAGAGACTTAAGTGGCACTTAAACTTTAATGTGTAATTCATAAAATCTACCTCAATCTTCACAAACCTCTCTCAGCTAAGAGAATCTTGATCTTCTGGACCAAAGACATGAATGGTACTATCCATACCAATCCCAGAAAAGACCCCTGGTGGCCTCATCTCCCATTTAACACCTTAGACTCACTCTCAGCCCACCAGGAAGTCAGGAGTCAGAAGTACTGGCCCTAAGTTTCCATTATCCTGTGCTTGAATAGGGAAGCTTGGGTGTTTCACCCATGCAACTACATAATCACTTAATATTTAATTTGCCCTCCCCCAACCAATGGACAAACTAGGAAATATAAATGAAAAAATGTTACAGTGTACCTATCACCTAGAAACACACATTATCTCATGTAGCACACTGAAAGGGGGGAGCTATAAGAATTTTTATCACAATTTACAAATGAGGAACTGGGCTTAGAAAGTTTAAGTGACTTTCCCACAAACACATAGCTAATGTCAGAAGCAGAATGTGAACCTGGACCCTCTGGGTATTCAGCATTTGATCTATCATGTCATGCCGCCTGTCCTTAGGAAGGAACAAGGAGTACAATACCTCCACTTCCAGACTCCGTAAGATGAGGAGTGGCTAGAATTTAGAATTGGAGAGGGTTGCCAGGGATGTGGAAGCCTCATGGGAAATATAGGTTTTCACCAATGTGAGGAGATGGAAGGAGAATGAAAAGAAGAGGTCAAAAACAAAGGAGAATGTTAACAAAGGAACAAGAGTTCTAAAGGACAGAGTGGAAGGATAGGGTGGAGGAGAGAACAAGGACCAGACTGAGGAAGGATGGAAGGAATGAAGAAAAAAAGAGGAAGGCAGGAAGGATGAAAGAAAAAGAGAAAGGAGGGAAGAAAGAAAGGAAAGAGGGAAGGAAGGGAGAAGAGGGAGGAAGGAATAGAGAGAAAGGAGGAAAGAGAAAGAAAGAAAGAAAAGAGGGATGGGAAGGAAGGAAGGGAGGGAGGGAGCTTACTGGGAGAGGAGGTTTGTTTTGCTGAAAGCTGTGCTGGGAGGCTCTGTCTTCTAGCAGCTCTGTATAATTGGTGGTCTCATTTCCCAGGCTCTGTTCCAACTTCAGGAATTAGCTTGGTGGACAGCTCCCAGACCCTCTGAGTGAAGAGCAAAAGCCAAACTCTCTCTCTCTCTCTCTCTCTCTCTCTCTCTCTCTCTCTCTCTCTCTCTCTCTCTCTCTCTCTCTCTCTCTCTCTCTCTCTCTCCCCCTGTGTGTGTGCGTGTCTCTGTCTGTCTGTCTGTCTGTCTTCCTCTCTCTGTCTCTCTGTCTTTTTCTGTCTCTCTGTCTCTGTGTGTGTGTCTCCCCCCCCCGTCCCTCCCCTTTCTGCCAAAAAAAGTCCCTTATGGTTCTTTAAAACCAGGTTGAAAACAGCTCTTCCAGGAAATTTCTCATAATTGATTCCCCATAACTTTATTGTTCTTCTGTTCTGGATCTTACAGCATGAATACAGTTAATATTGCGCTTCCCCCACCTTGTGATATTTGCAGGGTTTATAGTGAAGTCAGAGTCCTGGCTCCACTATTTACTGGCTATATCACTTTGTCCAAGTCCCTTAAGTTCTCTGAGCCTCAGTCACCTCATCTGGAAAATGGGGACAATAATACTTATATTACTGGAGTCACAGGGTTGTTGTGCAATTTGTAAAGCATTGCAGAAACGAATTATTGTTAGGATTGAGCCCCTGCTGTGCACTGAGCTCTGCTTTGATGCAGGGCACAGAAAAGAAGAAAAAACAGAGCCTCTGCCCTCAGCATGCCCATGAGTCCATATTGGTTAATATAAACATTGACAAGGAAATGTGCAGTCAGATGCTGGAGTATGGATGCAGTAGAATTTCAGGGCAAAGGGAAATAAGTGTAGGTTGGAGCCAACAGGGAAGCTTCTCAATAGGAGGCTAAGCTTGATCTCTACTTTGAAGGACAGGTAGGATTTTTTTTCTTTTTTCTGTTTTTTTTCCTTTTTAGGCATTTGGGGTTAAGTGACTTGCTCAGGGTCACACAGCTAGTGTAAAGTGATTGGTCTGAGGCCAGATTTGAACTCAAGTCCTCCTGACTTCAGGGCCAGTACTCTATCCACTGCACCCTCTAGCTGCCCCGGCAGGCAGGATTTTTACATGTCAGTTTGAGAATTCTACATTTGGGGAGACAATGGGAAGATGTGACTGAAGTGGAAGATTTGTGTAGCCGGAAAGAAAGCTAGATAGCTCGCCTGGGCCATCAGACTGAGGAGCTGGACTTCATCTATTTTGCTAGATGACCTTTGGTATGTTTGACTCTTCTTGTCATCTGGTGGAGTGCTCCATGTCCTGCATTTTCTGTGTCTTTACTCACATAGTTCTTTCATACATGGAGTGCATAGGTACCCATCTCTCTCTTTCTCTTTCTGTCTCTTTTTTAAGTAAAAGGTTGTTGTTGTTGAGTCATGTCTGACTCTTTATGACCCAATTTGTGGTTTTCTTGGCAAAGATACTGGAATTGTCTGCTATTGCCTTCTCTAGCTCATTTTACAGATGAGGAAACTGAGGCAAGTGGGGTTAAGTGACTTGCCCGGGGTCACACAGCTAGTTAGTGCCTGAGTCTAGATTTGAACTCAGGTCCTTCTGACTCCAGGCCCAGTGCTCTATCCACTGCACCTGGCTGCCTTTGGTAAGAGGACTTAGGTTCAAATCCTGGCTCTACTGCTCACTGCCTATGGGCTTCAATTTCCTCATCTGCAAAATGAAGTGGGATTGGACTAGATGATCTCAAAGGTCTATCCCAGAAATAAATGATTTCATGATCTCCCTCCCTACCTTTAAAACCCAGCTCAGATGCCACCTTTACCACGAGACTCTTCCCAACTCTCCAATTTCTGATTTTTCATGATTTGCCTGGATCATTCCTTCACTCATTTAATTCTCATGTATACTAATTTATACACATATCCTTGCTCATATTAGAATGTAGGCTCCTTGAGAACAGGGTCTGTATCATTTCCATCTTTGTAGCCCCAGCCTCTTACATAGAACCTTGCACACAGTAGTCACTTAATAAATATTTGTGGAATTGAATTGCTTTGCAAGCTTATGACCATGGGATCTCAGAACTAGAAGGCGCTTTAGAAATAATCAAGTTCAAACTCTTTTTACAGTTGAGGAAACTGAGGCTCAAAGAAGGGCAATACTTGCCTAAGATTTAGTTAATGACAGTCAGAACTAGAACTTAGGTCTTCCCTACCATTAGAGTAGCACTCCGTCCGTTAAACTATGCTGACCCTTTATCTATGCTGACCTAGCAAAGCTGATGTGAAGATGATATGAGTTAACTGATAAGGAAGTATTTTTAAAAGTAATGAATAATCTACAAATGAGAAGGATTGTTTTTAAGTGATGAATCCAGGTACTATAGAGAATGGTAGCTGGTACAGAGGAAAGAGGGCTGGATTTGGAGGCAACGGACATAGGTTCAAATCCAAGTTTGGCCACTCACTAACTGTGTGACCTTGGGCAAATCTCTCAGTCTCCCTGGGTC